GGGAACTAAGCACCAAAACCACCTCACTGTGGTTTCACACCCGAGGAGCGACAGAGAGAGACGAAGACAGCGCAACAGACAGAGCAAGAGACACGACGAGAAGGAAGTAGTAAACAACTCGGAGTTCCTTTGGTCAGGACTCGCGCGTTCCTTCGGTCAGGATCAACGCGGCGAGGTTACACCTCCGCGATTCTTGAAAGAGTCCCTCTCGCCTGGTAGCCCGGTTGAAACGGTCTGACCAAAGCCGTGACGACACCGAGCCACTCGATCAATGAATGCTCTGTCAACGATGAAAAAGCTTGAAGGGAATAGATCGTTGATCCTCGGTCCAACTTTGTCACTTCCAACGATCCATTGCTCCTGGGTGCTCCCTGCGCTTGTTTATCCGTAATTTTCATTAAATGGTGTCTTTAATGTTTCGGTAAGAACGATGAGAATCAATTTCATTTGGAGTCTGATGCAACATTCCTCTCGCTGATTGTTGGTAGGTCTGTTTGTCATGGATTAACCGGTTTCGAAACGGACTTCGACGGTTCTCGTTGTGTTCGTTTGATCGTATTAGGAAACGCCGGACTCGCAAACCATAACGTCCTTCCTAAAGAAACCTGGAATGTATCACTGCATCGAGGACAAAGTGGATCATAAATTCTCAATTTTACAAGACTTCGTAGTTTCACCAAATACACTCCAGTTTACATCCAACCCTTTATTTCTTCGCTAGTATACAGGGTGGACCACGAAACGTGATCGGTTTGGATTATTCTACTGCTAGCTGTTCGATCGAACATTTATCCTCAATCCACGACCAATTTTCAAACATTTTAATTTCCACGATAGAACAATATTTCGAAGTGATTTCGTCTCAGTATCCGCTAAAATATGGGCGTAAAAAAATGATATATTTACCTATAAAATAAAACTGAAAGTGACCTTGAAAACTGGAAAAAAGGGTTGACTAAATATGTTATAATCGTCTTAAATCTCTCCTTGAATCATATACTTCGTAAGAGACGAAAAGGATCTGGAGAAGATCCTCCAGCCCAAAGATCTCTCGATTCTTCTCCTCGATCTCTTGTCCTTCTTCTCCTTCCTCCTAGTTCATAGAACCAGCTCCCTGCTCTTCCCTGAAGAGGAGACTCGAGACGGACTATTATCCAACAGATGGTCGCCCGAACACCGATCCATGCTGCCTTTGTTTTGTTACCGTTGTTCCGGTAATTGCGGCAAATACACGGCCATTTTCGGTAATCACCCGCACGCCCCCATTTCCCCCCTTGTGGCGGTCCCCTTTGAGAATTCCGAAACGACCTCGACCTTCCTCGGGGCCGGTAGGCGTGTAACGACAGTTTTGCCAGAGACCCTCGACCTCGACCTTATATCTCACCCGGCTGACTTCTCCCTCGAGGCTAGGACAGTTGACAGAGTGTCACTTTTTGAGACTTTGATGATAGATACAGGGACCCAGACGTCTGACACTTGACTGTTGAGTAAGCAGACTTTGATCTCCTTCTTCAAGAAGCCTTTGTCACTAAAGCAATTAAGAAGAATGTTTACAAAGCAGAATCGTTAGCCCTCCATTGGGACACCTCCTTTTTCAAACGTAGTTGTCACACTGCGTAAATTTGACCTAAACCAATATTCAGTCAGCTGTTGTTTGCAAACTGTTTGTTAAATTAAGTCGCAAAAATTCTCATATAAAGTTTGAAAATTTTAGATTATACTTTCGTGGTTACAAACTAACATTGAAAGTTTCATCATGTTTTAAAAAATGTTTGAAGAAGGTACAATATTCTGAAGAAAATTTCTTCTTTTGGATACCTGAAATTACTACTACATAGCGCCAGTAGTACCATTTTCAATAATGCTACGAAGATATTTCACTTCAAAGTTAAATTCTGGATCAATTCGATCCAGTGTGACAACAGAGGGTAACCAAGAACACAAGAAAACCTGTCTCAAGTGGTCTCAATTACCGTCTTCCATCAAAGTAGCACATTGTGAAGCAAAGAATCCATCTGAAAAGGCTTGAATGCAGATTCAGTGGCCGTTTACGAGGGAATTAGCAGCCGTTAATTATAAAACCTCAGGCCGCGTTTCTTGCTCGCCTCTCGTAAGCTTCGGGGGATTACGAAGCGTGGCAAGCACCGAGTCAATGGCGAAACCGGAGATTTATCGGCTATTAAAATCGACGGTTTTCTAATCAATTCTCTCCGCAACTTCCCCGCCTTGACCCGTCGCTTTCCATTAACTCCCCGCGAAATATAGGTTTCTCCGGTGTTCCAAAGCCGTAAAAAAACGGCTCACGAGCGGAAAATCGGCTACGACGGCTGTCTGTCTGTGCAAAATGATTTTATCCTGTGACTCGACGCCGATTACTGCGCGGTTGGTCCCCTTCGGCTGAATCAGTTGTTTTCACCTAAAGTGGGAAAAATCTTTGATACACACGGCTGTGAAATGGTTTCGTCAGAGTTTTGTTTCGTGACGTTATATGTATTACGAAACGCGATCGACACGCTTTTCCTCTCTGTTCTTGATCGATCAACGGAAGATCAAATTCTGGACTCTCCTTAACAATTCGAGAAGTCATGTGTATACGTCAAAGAAATGTAAAAAAAAAAAGTGGAAAAAGACATGTCTTCTTAGAGAAGAACTTGTACTATGCAACAGTAGATCCAGACAGTCACTAGACAGACATTAGCTTTTCATATCTGTTTTCGACAGACACAATCTTCAAGCCTCTAAGACTACAATACATACTACTTACTAATACTAATAATGAAAATTGAGAATATTAAAAATAATAAGGCGAGAGTTTAAGTAGATCAGACAAATTACAATTCAATAAGTAACATGCAATTATTAACCTCGTCCAATCTGAGTGACTTTGTAGTTTTGATTTGTCCTCGAGCAGATTCACAGAAATCTCAAAGTCGAATGGAATGTTTCGAGATTTTTTGGCAGAAAGTAGCAGTCGTAAAATTTCGACAGCTCACGACTTCCCCGTAGCACGGGTCTTCCTAGAAACGGCTGGACGATGAACGCCGCCCTTGAGGAAGCGTACGTTTTGTCATCGTCCGGTGAGCGTTCGTCAAGAATTACCAATGCTCGGGTTTTCCACCGGTTGTTCTCGCTGCTGAACGAGTCTAAGCATCGTGTATGCGGCTCTGCGACGATGATACAAGCGGTTCTTTGAACTTCGATGTTTAACTTTTACCAGGAACGTGTTCTACATATCGTGTGACACTTAATTCTCACGGAACTTAATCGATAAGAATTCTACAAGAGAAAGCCACGTCTTAAACTACTCAGAATCATCTGAACTAAGTATCAGTTGATGAAGAAGTTATAGACTTGGATTTTTCCATTCGAAACAGTGAAATTTTTATTAGGTAATAAATAAACAAAAAATTTTATTAGGTAAAATATCGATATCTATAATATATTACGGATTGAGAAGCATAGTGGTGTAAATCCAAATTTTGAAAATTTGAGTTAATGCCATTTTTAAAATCTTTCTTTTTAATGACAACAAACATGACAGCAATATACATTCGTGAACAAAATATTAACGATAATTCATTTCTTAAATGTTCATTTCATAAAAATATCCATCATAACAAATCTGAATTCTGTCATTTTGATAGATTTGGTAGTACTAATCTTGTACCATAATCCTTGCAATCGGACCTCAATCTTTGTACACCACGGTTTTCGAGCGAGAAATACCGTACACGTAGGAAAGAACAAAAGCGAACTGATAAAAACTAGAACGAGATTTTAAACGAATCCTCGAAGGCCACCTGGAGGTGAGGGGGGGGCGAGAAGGAAACTCTAGTGTTACGGATGCCGAATGAAAGCTGAAACGGCTCATCGAGGGGAATAAAGGAAAGAAGAAGTATTGTGTGTCGCCGACGAGTTTTTCGTGAAACATTATTCCCGATCTCTCGGGCGCCGCGAGCGCGAATATGCAATTTCATAATCGTTCCGATTCGTCGTCGTTGTCTGGTAGTGGGAGGAACCGTGTGACGAAATTAAAAAAAAAATAAAAAAGAAATGGTTTCGCCGAATCATCGATGACTCAGCCTGGTTGCTGCGATCTTTTCCTCTCCGTTTCCGTAACTTTTACCTCTCCGTACACTTGGATATTCATCGGACGTCCGACGGAAGTCGCCGAAGTCTGCGATAAATATTTCACGAGATGTTAATACCGATCAATTATATTTCGTGCCCTGTGCCGTGTTTCGGGCGGCACAACTTGTCTGAACCGAGAACGTCTAACCAGAATCGATCGATGGAAATTTCGAGGATCAAAAAGATCTAAGGAACGTTGAGTATTCATCGTGGATTCGACGATCATTTGGACTTCCGTTCGATTCGGTGAGTCATATCGGTTCGTTTGACTCGGAGTTACTCAATCAAATTTCGCGATCTTCGTTAAGAATCTTATACTGAAACACAACGAAACCATGTCTTGAAGAAGTTCTACTTATACAAACTTTTACAGAGGAAGGACCCCAACTGTCCGACTTCAATTTTAACGGGGTTTTGTAAGAGGATGGACACTCGATTATTTTAAAGATGTAAACAATTAACAAGGAATTTTTCGATTATAGAAATTATAATAGTGCTTTTGGCAGAATTTACGTTCACCTTTGATTAACTGGGGCATGATCCGAAAAAGATTTGGAACCACTGTTCTAGATCGCCTACAAACAGACAATTCATGTACATTACGCCAGGTGTAATAACAGCAGTCGTAATATGCGCTGAACCTCGTTTCGCTCATATATATTAACAATACCATAGTAAGTACAATGAAGACGTCTAATTATTACCGTTTCCAAGGAATATATCGGACCAAGCATCTTCCACAGTTCTACAATCCTCCAAAGGGAGAATGAAACGGAAATTTATTCATGAAGTAATAGTTGGGTCATAATTAAGTTTTATCTTTCTGGTATACTTTCTTGCCTCAGGACGCAATTGCATCATGTTCGCAGATACGAGCACAGGGACAGCGGAGTGGAGCTATCCGTCGACGACACCGTCTTATCCAGCGCCTCCGGTCAGCAGCGGGGGTTCATTCTCGCCGATACCTGGAGGGGCGTTCTCGTATCCCGGTGATCCCCTCTCCCATCACCCGACCACGGAACCTATGCCGTTACCCGCCGGTGAGTATACATATATAAAGGGGTTTTCCAAATAGAACAATATGATTTTACAATGAAATGAAATAAAAACTATTTTAGATACAGCCAAACTTTTTATATTATTTTGATATATATTATTTAGCCATGATAAATTGTCATAGTATACTAAAGACAAATAACAACTAATGATAGTTATAACATTTTAAACATGGTTGTCATTTCATTTCAAAATCATATCATTCTTAGTGGAAAACCCTTTATGTGCTCGGGACTTCGACCGAAATATCACGAAACTGCGTCAGTACGGAAAGGAAAATACTCGGGGACGTAACCTACTGATACACCAGTGACGCAGCAGCCATTCGGGGAACGCGTTCTTCCTGTTCTGTGTGTGACATAACACCGTGAGTTCGCAACATCTGTGACGTATACCACAGATGAGACGATCGTCCTGAATGTGTCTATCCTCTGTATCGTTGGATTATTCTTGTGATCCCTAAATATTCTTGGATCTCTGACTTTTCTTGTTCTTTTTTTTGGAGAATACTAGAACTTCTTGTTTATTGACATTTTTATGATTGTAACTTTTATGCTTACCACGTGATTACTTCGTTTAGAGGATATTGGAGATATGATACCTCTAATAATAGTAATCCTGGACACATCAACCACACCTAGGTCTAAGTATTCCATTCTAATTTTCCACTAGAAGGCTATATTCTTCTAGCAATCTCTTTAAACAACGCTAACACTGACCACCTCAATCGTCAGACTCTACAACTAATCTCTCCTCAGTATACAAAAATTTCTATACCGTGAAGCCAGCAAATATCAACCCCAAAATACAAATCAAAAATGAATATACAATTTTTAAAGATTTAATTATTACTCCGATGAGATATCAAGCCAGAGTTGATAATTGCTGCAAGGAATGTTATCGGTTACCAAAGAATGAAATTAGACCAAAAAAAAATCGATACATCGGTATGTGACTTCAAAGTCACATGGAGCTATGAATGGTTGATCACTGCAGCAAAAATACCACCAAGAATCCTCAGCACACATTCCAGGCCTCATGATCCGCTTGAACACTAACCAAAGAAAAACTGCGACCCACGAAAAAACTTCTGAACTAAGAATAGGACTATCCTGTACCAATTAGGATAAGGTGAAAAAGTTCTTTCAATCTTCCAGTTCTTCCCTCGGAGAACCAGCAGGACACCTACACGCCTAACTGCGTGTCCATGTACCCAGGCCACGGGACCACCTCGTCTTCCCTGCCATTGGTCCCAAGTAAGTCCAACGACCCAGACATCTTCGCCGGCGGAGGAACGGGTAGTGGAAGTCCCGGCTACCATTACGGTTCCTGGACACCTGGACCAGCCACGCCAGTTCCTGTCGCCTCGCACAACTACAATCCGAATTACCAGGGTTACTACAACAATCCAAGCCAGAACTACATCAGCCCAGCACCTATGGTCCTCTATCCGCAGCTGTACAGCACGGTGAACCAGAATCAGATCCACCTGCACCTGCATGGCGACCTGACCGAAGAACAGGTCACGATCGCTGGCAGCAACCTAACCATCAGCAGCAATAGGTTAGAGATTGGGGTGCTGGGCGAGGAGAGCGAGCAGAGGAACGACGTCTGGAGACCCTATTGAGCTGATCCTGGGAATTGAAGATGTTTTAGGGGGATTGGACTCGAGAGGAGAGACTGTGCCCGGTGTTTTAATTGTGATATCGACGAGTTGATCCTCGTGTATAAGAGACTTAGGGGATGTTAGAGACGTGTCTTTTTTTGTGAGGGACTTTGTGGTGTTCTGTAGGTAGCGATGATATGGAAGTGTATAGGAGGGTAGTGACTTTGAGGACTTGTATATGGGTTCGACGGTATATCTTGATGGTCTTTAAGATGGTTTCCGATTGAACATGAGTAGATGTATAGTGGAGCACCAATGGCCAAGGGAAATAACGACGAGAAAGTCCTGACAGAGAGTGGATCATTGTGATTCGGAGGATCCAGTGGGAGCGACCACTCCCCAGTCATGTAACTGTTGTAAATACACAGATATTTTCCATGAAATAAAGTCTTGCCCCGACGGTTTTCCTGTATCCCCCCCCCTGCCCGGTTTTCTTTCGTTCGCGAACGTAGCTTCGGGATTTTGTTTCGTTAGAGAAAATGGAATCGAATGTTCACGGTTTCGTTACAAAAGCTGAAGGTAGATTAAGGACGACGGAGGATAGGCTTCATTAGCGAAGCGGATCCTTTGCCGACGGTTTCGAGCGCAGGAAAAATCTTTATCTGACTGTGTCCAGCATGGGAGCAGACCGCAGGGAAACGGTTTGTCCTCCCTTCGTCGTGGACGTTGAGGGATAATCCTTTTCACGAGCGTAGCGAGCTCTATTTAATATTTAACGCACGCGCTGGAAATGACGAACGGATGGATAGTTGCGGTCTACGCCGAGGGGCCAACCTCGCAGTGTCCTACGTCCCTTTATTAGCTATCCACAGTCTGATCTGTATGTCCTTGTTTCGCATATGACGATCCCTGCTGGACGGGGACGCCATTTTTGATTCGGTGAATAGACCGAGAACGGTGAAATTTCGAGTAAATTGAACTATTAACCTCGACAGGGTGTTGGTGAAATTCTAGAATTACGACTGATTTATTTATCTGGTTATTTAAACACCCTTGGATAAGTCCATCTAACGTAAACTGTTGTGCACACTTAAATATAGTTGAACTAACACAATTTTCTGTAAAGTCCAAAGTCTTGAAATTTCTCTTAAAGATGTACATTTCACATCGAACGGATGAATTTCAAGTGAATTCCCGTGAATTCTGAACGGTTCTCCGTCGATTGTATTGTGTAACCGGTAGAAAGTCACTTTAAATGTCGTGTTCAAAGCGAAATTGCCGGCTGAACGAGGAATTAATAGATAAAACTGACGCATAGAACGAGCAGGCAATCATCTTGATTGGGAGGTTGATGTTACCGTCGAAGGTCCGTTTCCCTGTTTTCAGACGATCGTCTTCTGTAATCAATATGAAAAAGACACAGAGTAGCTACAACTACACGCGTAGAGTAAAGCTTGTTACTACCGGCACCATTAATATTTCGCAATATGCAATCTAAAAGAATATTAAATAATATAGAAGATAGAATTGGTGGCTGTCGTCTTAATGGCTGGGACGTTAGATCCTACGTTTCGTCTTCGAAGAGGCCTTCCCTCGACTTCGTTCGTCGTCCTCCATTCGTAAAGACGACACGCTTTCCGGTGACTTCTCTTGCTTCCTCTTCGGTCATGTTTACTGCCCACAGCGAATGGGCACGCCAGGACAGGGGAATAAAAGCGTGGAATAAGCCGAGAGTCGGCCGTCGCTCGTAAGCTCGCCTCTTTACGAGGATGACTCGACCGCAGACAAGAGTCTCCCGCCCTTTCCTGCGCCCGTTAAAATGAAGTAAAACCATCCTGGTCGCGCAGAAAATAGTCGACACCTTCGATACCTCTTCGAAGTCGGGTTGACCCGGTCGAATGTACCCCCCGCAACAAATTCACTTTCTCCCTTCTGTCGAACATACTCTAATTCCTGCAGCATCTAAATTGTACAGTAATGGCGTGGAACCAGAAATCAATTTAGAACTTACGATCCATAAAGGGCTTCTAATAAATATTTCGTAGTATTTTTCTTCTATTAACATTCGACGGAAAGAAAAGATTATTAATTGAAGCAAAATTACTTAATTCTACTCTTTCAGGGATTCTGTATTGTCAAAAATCTTGGTAGTGTCATAATAATTGTTTATTCATAGCCAAAAAGATTTCTGACTCAGAGGATTCATTGGTATTTATTGATCATGCTTCCCATTGAAAACACCAGAACAGTTTCATAATAAACGCACCTTTTATTCGTTCATACTGTTTCTCATACACAATAGGCTGGAACCATGGTTTAGCCTTAGAATCCGCAGTTTATACTTGTTATTAACTTTGTCAGGGAAAGGAAACAGGGTCTACGTAGGCACGTTTTATTATCGATCATTTAAACTCGTCCGTATGTATTTTCGTTCGTTAATTTATCTCGACGTTCAACAATATTTTCATCAACACCGATGAGGAAAATCCAGGGGAGAATCGCGAGGGGAAAACGTCGCCGCAGCACTGGTTAAATTTACGCGCAACAACGGTCGGATAATTATTATCATTTTTCTCTCTAACTTACAAACGATATTACAAAATATATGTATAATATATTATATCGAAGCGATAAAATGAAACGGAGACAATCGTTGACTAGACGCCCGTCTAAATAACACGATGGAAATTAACGATAAAAATATCTAGCTTCTCTCGGATGGATCGCAGCAATCGATCCACGTGAGGAGTACTATTTACAATAAAATATAACAATATTATTATTCTCCCTCGTCCGCTATAGCTCGTCGCGCTGCCGAACTATTTTTTGGCAAGATCCAAAGGATCCGTTTAACATGGATCCTCCTCGTGACCCTTCCGTTAAATAACATTCTGCTTCTAAATAGTTTATTCTACCTTCCAGATGCAACATCAACGTTTAACTGTCGCCATAATAATTACAATTACATGTTCTCGTTTCTTCCTACTCGTAAAAATAATTTTCAGCATCATCTTGAAATCAATAGTCAGTGATCTACAGTATATAACGATCTATAAATTATCATCAGGTGTATATACCAATGAATAAGCCACCATTTTCTTCGAATAAAATAGTACCATAGTTTCCGAACGCTTTTTTTTTTAAATGACAATGGATATCCAAAGATGGGGATGACTATTACCTACAACCAGGTGCAGACTTTTGATTTCCCGAAATAATAAATATTAAATTATTTTATTGGTATACCTAGTGAAATTAAGTAACTCAAGATGACAGAGTGTCGGATTTTTACGAACTGAAGGTGGGAATCTGTACCGTTTTCTTTACAAAAAAAAAAATATATACGGAGAGAGGAAACGGTAAAGTGGGCCACCAGTTCTCGCGTGATCCGTCAGGGCTCGTCGCGACGCCGCTTCGCGCGTTCACCCGACGCTGGAAGCGAAACTCCCGGTGCATCCGACTCTGCGACTGGACCGCAAACTACAGTTAAGCGCAAAGAGCATAAAATGAGAATCGAGAGATGTGCGTGCGGAGTGGATCGTAAATAAAATCCTTGTCCCTCCGTGTCGACGCGTCGGGACGCGATAGAGATAGGCGAGGCATGTCCGTTCGAAACGGGACACTCCGTTTTCTTTTATCGCGGAGAATCGACCGATTGGCTATTGTCTGTCGTGTGCATGCAACATTCGGTCGCTGGAAATACATTTAGGACCCTTATAATTATTCAGAGCTCGTATTCCAATCCGTTAAAATTGCCCTTGAAATGGTCCTTAATTTTCGTGACTACAATCGTCCACCATCTTTTCTGTTCTGAAGATGAAGGAAGTGGAGAAACAATCGATAGATGCATTAGAAATTCTTGAACTTTTATAGAATTCACATTTAACATCGGTTTTAAAATGGTCCCTGATCTCGGGACCAATAATCTTCTGTTATTCTCTGCGAAGTATGGAATGCAGAAAATGGGATGCATTTAAGATCATCGAATTCCTTCAGAATCCTCGATCAAAGTTGACAATGGAAATGGTCCTGAAACTGGTCCTTGATCTTGGTAATCAGAATCTTCTGTCGTTATCTGTCCCTTTGAAGATGAAGATTTTAATAGATGAGATTAAAAATCGTCTACTGGTACCTTAGATATTATTCTTCCTCGAAACACAAAGGTGGTCATCGTGTATCGAATGTCTTAAGAATAGATTGACTCTCATGTTCAGTCTAATGATGTTTCTTCTCAAATATCAATTACACCTCGACGATAGAAAAGCTCGTTTTCAATGATTGACGACAAAGATACAGAAGCTCCATGAATAGTCTTTTGATCTAATAGACAGCACAAGCTGAACCGAAGCTTTTAAGAACGACCCACGACTGGATGTCAACAGCTTTCTACTCAGTGTCCAACAATTTCACCTCACAAGTCAATAGAAGCAGCCTCAGAAAGATTCGTGAAAATACATCTGTTCCCAGATGTATTGAAGCTGTTCCTAATTGCTCGTTAGCCCGTATAACACCGCAATTCGGTGGAAAAGGGTGGACAGTCGCTGTTTCAGGACCTGGTCCACGGCGTGCCTCGTGAGGACTCGTACTCCGCTGACGAAGACCGGAAGCAGGGTGGTCAATCGTTCATCCTGCAATGAATTTTCAATCATTTTCATAACAAGTATTCACCATACAGAAAAACTATTAAGTCCTGCAAAACCATCTTTGAAGAATTAATAACAAAAAAAGAATTATAAACTCACCGGCAAAGCCAGAGTCCAGTCCAGAATAGTGCTCAGAGTCTCAGCCCAGGCCTTCCTGTGCGCCTCACTGTCCTTGTAAACGTTGGTCTTCCTCTGAAACCCAGTGTCCTTCATCGGAATATCTTGACCTTCAACCCCAACCTCCTCCTTATCGCCCTTCAAGAACGGATTAGTCCTGAATCCCCTCTTGCTACGCTCGTAATCCCTCAACAGCTCGTCAATATTATCCAAACACGACGGAGAACCAGTCTCCTTCGAAGCCATTTTCGAAGACACTCTCGGCGACATCTCAAGGTCATTGGACGAAGTGGACACTGATCTTTTCCTCAGCTCCATAACCGATCTACACCTCAAAGCAGCTGAGTCGAAAGGTTCGAACTTCTCATAGTCCTCGAGTTCACTTGGGACGACGAACTTAAGAGAATTCCTTCTGGACAACAAGCAGGCGTCACTTTTCCTCCTCTCCAACCTCGATTTCGGATAACAGGAAGTCTCATCGAACGTCACAGCAGCGTTCGTCGCGATCGTCTCCAAGGCAGACGTCCCGAAAGAGTCCACCGACTCGGCTCTCTTCAGTGGGCTCAATTTATAATACAAGTTGTCTCGATGATTCATCATCTGTGAAGGAGCAGGAGTCGTCGAACTGTATTTTCCGTCGATGTAACCCTCGCTGGAGGTACCACCTGATCGATCAAGGTACACAATCTTTTCTGTGACCGAGCCCAATCTAGACACTGGCCTGGAATCGTCTGTCTCTGGCTCGCTGGGCGGGCCAGAATCAGTGGAATACTCGACAGCTAGGTCAGACAGTCTGAAGTGTCTTGCGTCTTCGTCAGACTCTGGCCCAAGTTCGTCCAATCCACTCTCATCGTCGAGATTAGGATTGTATGCTTCTATGTCCTCTTGTTCGTCCTGGTCGACTTGATCCTCTAGCTCGTTCAGCTGCCGATGGAAATGCTCGATTGAAGCTGACGTGACCATAGCTGTATCGTTGATGGGTTCTTTTCTGGTGATCTCTGGGTAGTCATCAGGCTGTGCTACCAGCAGGAAGATCTTCCTTTCCGAGAAGCTATCTACTCTCGTGTGCTTGCCATCCTCATCCAGGACCACCTCCACATAACTATCACAAAGCTCCTCGAAGGTGGTTCGCAGTTGCCTCAAGTATTTCGACAGCTTTCGGAGATTGGATCTCTTGGGATAATCCTTGTCTTCGAGGCTCAAGGTTAGCAGGGACTTGACTGTTTCTAGGGTAGCGTTGGTATTCTCGATTTCACGCAGGCAGAGCTCGAAGAGAGTGACGATCTTTATAATCCAGGCAGCTCCAGCCTGACGATAAAGATTCGCTGGTTGCTGGAGATTAGCTACCTTCTGGACCAGGAACTTTAAACCTGGCCGACAGTCGAACTTCAGGGCTGCCGCGTAAGAGAGGTCCAGGGCTGAGAGGAAAATGTCCACGTGGTGGCTGGTCAGGTAGGATAGACAGCCAGAAACTGCAGGCTTTGGTGATCCTGACGCCATTGAATGCGGGATGACGTGAGACAGACTAGAATTTTGATGAACTTAATAACAGTTTCTATCTGTCTGCTAATTAGGTAGTTCCCTTGGACGGTTTACCTACCTAGGAAATGAGTCGTTGCTCTGCAAAAGGACACTGGCGATGCAATGGAGGAGCATCTGGTGAACCAGAAGACCGACCACCAGTGCCCTCAGCTGCACTCGAACGATATAGAGATCAGGATTGAGCGTGGAACCCACGGATGGTGGGTACAGTAGGAACACATAAGATCTGTCGTCGTTCGTCCTCAATGGATCTTCGCTGCGTTGTTCCTCGAGGAGGAACACCTGAAGAGCATACGATCTTGAATTTTTTCGATGATCCCGAGCGACGTTTCCACGCACGATTCCCCCGTAGATCCTCGAACCGTCTAACATTTATTCTGAATACATTTTTTCCCTAGTGGATCAATTTTGTTCCGAATTTTCCTTCGAGGAATTACAGAGGCAATCGTGCGTGATGTCTGACCGCTGTTGCAGTGATATTCGTGATATGGTGACTAAAGATGATGACGGTCCGCTTTTATTTTTTTTTTTTTTTTGTTTGGTGAATTAATCGTCAAATGTACAGTGGGTACTAACTCGAGACATAACACGATTCCGTTAATTCGGTCGCTTTTAAATTACGGTTGTGCATTCTACAAAAGCTGCAGCTTCTAGGATAGGTGTCGTATATCTCATCACGTACATTTATGTGACAGTGAAATTCTAGCCATGGACTCAAGCCATGGATTTTAATGGTGATACGCAAGACCGTGCCAAGTTAAATTTAAATGATATATCTCGGCAAACGACGGGGTCCTTCTGCACTCGATCAATTCTCACAAAATCTTCATCGATAAATCTCTTGATTATCCTTTTAAACAAGTACAGTTGACCCTCTAGGCCACAGAAATAGCGACTCGAAACTTATTCCGATACAGTCGCTCGTAGATACTACTATACTGTCCTATTAAAGCTAACTGCCATATTTTTTGTAACATTACGGGTTAGGAACAATTTAGACACTAAATATTATTCTAACCGACTTCATTAAGTCGCAACAAAACTAGCCTGGGTAAATGCTTTGTTTATTAGAAAAAAACATTTAATATGTAATTGACATTATTAAGTACTAAATCGTTCTTTTTTCGAAACAAGACTGTTGCAGATACGTCAATTAGCCTTAGCAGGACAGTGTAGTAATAATAATTTAGACTTTTTACATGATTTAGCCATTTCTGAGACAAGTAATGGTACCAACTACCTCCCTAAGAATCGATTAAATGACTTTGGGACGATAATGTGGCTAAGAGGGTCCAAAGGAATTCGAACAAACTGTTCGCAGTAGTTCTCAAAGGATTCGACGTGGATGAATTCAACGAGAAAGGACCTCGTCGAGGAGGTTCTGCAGCTTGACCTGTGCCTTCTACCAGCGAGTGCAAACATCTAAACGAAGGTGATCGGTTACAAAAATCGTATCGTACCCCCGCGTCGACAGGCTTACTTCGAGGTTCCTCCCCGTCCTTTCATACCGATATCCCCGATTCGCGTACGGCCGATTTGGAGGAATTAAAGAGGGTGCAATATAAGAACGAACCAGCAGATAATAAAAAGCATCTCTGTATTTGGACACAGTCAGCGCGTCGAGCACATTAAATGGTACAAAAATACAGATTAAAAGACACGAGTGTGTTTGACAATAAGGATGCAGTCTCGTACGCACAATAGTAATTTCCTTTTTTCTCATCGAAACACTCTGTGACAGTCTACTGCTTTTCTGTTGCAACGCTGCTAAGCGACGTAGAATTCGAGTCGTCTTTTTTTTTTTTTTTTAATTTTTTAAAGCTTTGACGATTTTGAGCAATTCAGTAATATTATGTATATCGCACTCGTGTGCCACTTATTTATTCGAACCTCCGACAGGATTAGCCTTCGAACATTTACGCGATAATTCGTAAATATGCAAATCGATCCAAGAAAATCGTACGCTCGATTCTACGCCACTGGTATGCCATCATCAGCCATACAGATGCAAGCTCCGAACACACGAAAAAAAGCGCACGATTTCATCGAGGCACGTAGGCAGCAGAAAGAAATTGTATATATATATAAAATATCTGAATTGTATTATCTACGATCACGTCTCCGCGTGGGGGAAACGATCTTCCAAAGGCAGAAAGCGGTAATTGCAATGGACCGAAGTCGCGGTGAACGTGGATCGATAGCAGGCCTGTCGACGACCGCGTTCACGGGGTCTGTATATGCCCACCGATAGATCCCGAATGGATCATTGTGGTTCCCCGTTCAATTACGAATAGTTAGCAATAGGAATCAATCGATCGTTCGTTTGTTTGCTTCTGTCCCTATATTATATACGTATACATCGGTTATCTCTCTTTCTTGGTTTTGTTGATCATTCGTATGTTTGTTATTTATTTATTTTTTTTTTCTCATTTGTTTGTTTTAAAATCCATGACGTGAGTTACCGTGGGCGGCTAGAGCCAATGGGGGCCCGTGTTCGTCGTAGTGTTAGTGTAATCGAGGGGTGTCGTGTGCTGCCTACAACCGACGGAGTAGGAAGTAGTGTGCTGGTCGATCAGTGTCGTCTCAATGGTCATCGAATCCTGGAAAGGTGTCGTCGACAGTGACGCCGCATTCTGCCTCTTGACGGCAGACAATACCTCGCGCAGCTGGCTCACCTGGGAGCAAGTCAGGTCAGGAGGGCACCACGTGTCTCTCACTCGCAGGCAATTGCCAATATATATATATACTATATATACTTCTATGTACACAACACACTCACACACACATACCCATTGACAGAACCGAGCAAAGCTACTTTAACATTTCTGACTCTCTAAAAAAAAAAAAATGATCTACCGCGCGTGAACGGTAAGAAAAACGATCTCGACAGAGAAACGAAGAAATGCCGCGATTATCTTCGATAATATAGCCAATCGTCATCGGACATCAAAGGAATAAAGAAAGTTGCAAATTTCCAAGTATCATCGGTCTACATCCGTGCTCCATCCATTGACCACCCGTAATTCGATCGAACGTTACACACGCTCGCAACAGAACGTATGTATGTACTGTAGTAAAAACTCATGGCGATATGTGAGGAACACAAAGAAGCACAACGAACGTCAAACAGCCAGAAGTGACATTGTTATTCGCCTTCCAGATAGGCTCAGACACAGAGTGGCAACAATGTGGCAACCTACCTGCGCTGCGAGCTGCCGTAGACGCTCCGACTCCTCCATAGTCGCGTCCCGTCGCGCGGCAACCTTCACCTGAGCGATGTCGCCGTAAAAGGATTCCGATCGCGGCGAGAAAGCCATGGTCAGCTGGTGCAACTCCTGCAGGGAATTCGAACAGGCGCGGTAACAGGCCACGCCGCAGACCTCCCATTGTTCTGGGGTGAGAAGCGGACCGCTGCTCACGAGGACGTGCCTAAGTAAAAACCAGATTTCGACTCCTTGAAGCGTCACTTAATCTTTACAAATCACCAATTTCCTTAATTCAGGTAGCTACACTCTGTATACTTTGGTCATTCATTTTTATCGAGGATCTCCTTTCCTAGATTCAAACCTAACTTCAAGTACCCTCTTCTCTGTAATCCTTCTTTACACTTCAGAGAACTATGGTACTGCCACTCTGAGAAAGCTACTGATCCTGTAACGGAAGTAGCTAAACCTAGGATCAATTCCATCCTTGAATCTAAACTCTTTCAATCCCTTTTATCCTATATGTCCTCCTATATGTCTTACATGTCCTATATGTCTTGTGTATGTATTTTACATCTGTGCATTGGACCTATCTGCTACCTAAAATACCCAGGACGACAGATTCTATCTAAATCTGCTACCAAGCTGATAATTGTCCAATCCTCTCTGCAGATAAGTGATCTCAGTAGCCAGACTTGGAGGGACCAAATCCAGTGTTGGGGTCGCGTATCAAACTGGGCTGCCAGGCAGCAGTGGGTGACTCCTAGGATTTCAGATCCAGGATCCCGTTCGTCATTCACCGACCGGGCTGGCAATCTGCCCGCGAACCTGTCCCGTTTTTAAACTCCGCGCACGCCTGTACATCGATACCTCGCGATCGACCCCGGCCCGGGATTGAATTACAGAGCTCGATGTACGCCGTGCATTAATACGGAGAAAACGCGCGAATGGATACACAGCCCGGGCTGGTATAATAGACAGAGAGGTAGAGAGGAGACGGGGCTGTCGCGTGTATAAGCTTCGTAC